GGGAGGGTATGTGTAGTGGCTCATACCTGTAATCTCAACGCTTCAGGAGGCTGAGGCAGGTCATCACCTGAGGCCAGGAGTTCGAGACCAGCCTGACCAACATGGTGAAATCCCATCTCTACTAAAAATATAAAAATTAGCTGGGTATGGTGGCAGATGCCTGTAATCTCAGCTACTCGGGAGGCTGAGGCAGGAGAATCGCTTGGACCCGGGAGGCAGAGGTTGCGGTGAGCCAAGATCGCACCACTGCACTCCAGCCTGGACAACAAGCATGAAACTGCATCTTAAAAAAAAAAAAAAAAGGACAGCATCAGAAGTCCCTGTCTTCAGGGAGTTTAGCTTCTAGGAAATCGTTTCCACTCGTGACAAAATCCACAATTCCTAACTGGCTTTCTTACCCAGTATAGGTTACCTTTCCCCCAGGTGTCTCAAAAATACCTTTTTGCCTCAAACACGGCTTTGCTGTCATGAGAAGCCAAACGAGGTCATTGGAGAAATTTCAAGGTATCCCTCCATCTCCATGGCTATGGGCTTGTAAGAAAGCAGGGTAGAAATTCACCACATACTGTTATTGTTTTATTTAACTTTTTAGAGATGCCACCACGCTCAGCTAATTAAAAAAAAAATTTTTTTTTTTACTCTGTTGCCCAGACTGGAGTGCAGTGGCACAATCTCGGCTCACTGCAACCTCTGCCTCCCGGGTTCAAGTAATTCTCCTGCCTCAGCCTGCCGAGTAGCTGAGATTACAGGCATGCGCCACCACATTCGACTAGTTTTTGTGTTTCTAGTAGAGAAGGGGTTTCACCATGTTGACCAGGCTGGTCTCGAACTCCTGACCTCAAGCGATCCACCTGCCTCAGCCTCCCAAAGTGCTGGGATTACAGGCGTGAGCCACAGTGCCTGGCCTTTTTAAAACTTTTTTTAGAGATAGGGTCTCATTGTGTTGTCCGGGCTGGTCGTAAACTCCTGGCCTCAAAGTAGCCTCCCGCCTCGGTCTCTGAAAGCATTGGGATTTCAGGCCTGAGCCCCCGGCTGGGCCCCAGCATGCTGTAACTATTGGCACTGCTGGTGATGCTTGGGTGGCTGTGCTGTTAGGGTGGGCTCTGGAGGGAGGTGGGAGTTGGAGGAGGTGGAGATGGCCTATGGGAAAGAGTCCAAGCTGAGGGGCCATCGGGGGGACCACAGGGGAACAGAGCAGCTGGCCCAGGTGGCCCTTGGCTTCTGCACGCCTCCCACACTTGTCCCTCTGCCCCAGGCACACCCCTGGCACTGAAGCAGCTCCCGAAACCCCGCACGTCCCTCCGCGGCTTCCTGTACGAGTTCTGTGTGGGGCTCTCGCTGGGCGTGCACTCAGCCATCGTGACAGCCTACGGCATTGGCATCGAGTCAGCACAATCCTACAGCTTCCTGACGGAGCCTGTCCTGCACGGGGACCTCATGGCCTTCATCCAGCCCAAGGTGCGTAGGCAGACCCCAAGCCGCCTTCGAGTGCCTCTCCTGCCTCACAGGACCGTCCTGAGCAGCCTGGGCCGCAGGAACCACAGCCACTGCGTTGGGCCTCCCCTACCCCCCAGAGGCCCCTCACGGGGCCCACAGGACTCGTGGAGTTGTTAGGCCTCTTTGGAGTTCACAGACATCACAGAACCCACACGATACACTATGGAGACCCACCAGCTAGCATCAGGTCACACTGGACCCCAATCAAGTCACAGGCCCTACAGGGTCACCCGAGGCCCCGCTTAACCTACAGGCCCTACAGGGTCACCCGAGGCCCCGCTTAACCCACAGGCCTCATGGGGTCACACTAGGCCCCCCTAAACCCACAGGCCCCATGGGGTCACCCCAGGTCCCACTAAACCCACAGGCCTCATAGAGTCACACTAGGCCTTATGGGGTCACTCTAGGCCCCCTAAACCCACAGGCCTCACAGGTCACACTAGGTCCCACTAAACCCACAGGCCTCATGGGGTCACACTAGGCCCCCCTAAACCCACAGGCCTCATGGGGTCACACTAGGCCCCACTAAACCCACAGGCCTCATGGGGTCATACTAGGCCCCAATAAACCTACAAGCCTCACAGGTCACACTAGGCCTCACAGGGTCACCCTAGGCCCCACTACACCCACAAGCCCCATGGGGTCACAGTAGGCCTTATGGGGTCACCCTAGGCCTCCTAAACCCACAGGCCTCACAGGTCACACGGCCTCACGGCGCTATTCACCATCTTCCTTACCGGCCTCCTTAGTGTCCTGGGCCTGCTTCCTGGGCTGAGGAGGGGCCCCGCGGTCTCGGTTGCTTTCCGTGGCCTCGGGGCACTGGGCCCTGACCCCTCTCCCCGCAGGTGGGCCTCCCACAGCCCGCAGTGCACCG